GAACCTTCAAGAGCATTCGCACAGCAATATGCATCTTCAGCAAGACTTTCAGCGGAGCTCCGATCACGAAGAACCTCGTCCTGAAGGGCTCGAAGAGCATCACGAGTCACCGGACGGCGGCCGATCCGGTTGTCAACGCCCGACTCTTCTCGACAAGAACGGTGGCGTCCACTATCACGTGGAGCGTCTAGTGAGACGACGTTGTCACCTGGGTCAAACCCAATATCTGGTGAAGTGGCGGGGATATCCCGACTTTAAAAACTCGTGAGAGTTTGAGACGCTACTTCGGCAAGATTGCCCAGTCGCTGTGAACGCTTTTGAGCGGAAAAACATCAGGGCGTCTCGCGTCATCAGACGCCCCGCGTTTCCCAGCAATAGCCAGGCAAGTAGACGGGCCAAGAGCTGAGCTCAAGCAGTGGCCCTGAGCTCTTGCGGTCGCAAGCACAGAGCTCGCGGGATCGTTAAGGGTTGTTAACCCATACGTCGCAGGGCGTCAATCTGAAGGAAGTCGACGGCGTACTTGAGGTTTGGCAAAGTCAAATTAAGGTTGTCGCTACACACGCACGTCCACTTCCTTGTGGCTCAACTGTAGGTTATACAGTGAGGAAAGTTTCCGGTTCCGTTGCACCCATCGCTCTAAAAGCGCTTCGTCATCTGTAGCGCTTTCGCCAGGGGTGAGCACTACAGGTATTGTCCGCATTGCGGGTATACGAGAGCCACATCGTTGAGCACTCAGACGAGTGCGATAGGCTCCCCACGGAAATTCTTGTTGAATCAAGAAACGAGCTCGAAGAGCTTTCCGTTTGGCAAGCTCATCTTCCGTTCTGGTCGAATGCCCGATGATGAGGACGTGTAAAGATTGAGTTACCGCGTCCTTCGCTTCCACAGCGGGATCCGCTGGGCGGAAGCTATATCCCACACGAGGGTCAATGACCGACCGTGGAAGGGCGCGCTTCAGAGCCGCCTTATGGGCAGCTTCCAGCTGCCCCCTCTGTGCCCCGTCGAGATCATTGGTGATTTCAGCACGTCTCTCGGGTGACGAGAAGTCAGGGAACGGACATGGGGTCCGCAAGGCGCGAGCAGGACTCGTATCACGCCGCTGGCGCAGCTCGCCTCCCTCGTCATCCCATGCGGGAAAAGGAGCGTCAGACTCGTAGTCAACCACCTCCACATATTCAACGAAGTCACTCGTCATTGATAGCGTGCGCGGAGTGCGACGCTCGTGCTCATCAAGCCTAGGATGTACATCCCCCGGTGCCGCGGACGCACTGTCCAACATCGCACCGCGTGCGGAGACGAAGCTGGGCTCTGCCCGTGTTTGCTGTCAGAACCAGCGAGACTTGGTGACTTCAGTGTCGTTGACACAGGGCAGATTGAGCACGAAAGTCGTTTGGTTCCAACGAATTAAGTTGCAGTGTCTAGCGGACACGCGAGCCTCGTTGAGGCAATAATCGATTAAAACAGTAAATGTTCTCCATCATAATGAGGGATAGTGTAACGGGATTATACGTACCCTGGTAACAGGGGTGTGTCTCACACGAGATGGACATGGTGTTACTGCACTTAAACAAGAATATGGTATGTGGCTAGGTAGCCACTTATTCAGATTTTACTATATATGTTGAGGAAAATATAAACATTTAAAGCTAGACTGCTTTGCCGCATATGAAAATAAACAAAAATCAGATTTGAATTTTAAACGGAAGAGTAATTAGCTTTGGGATTAAGGCAATAATTACTCTTGGAGTAAGCTGATTGCGATCTGCTAACTTGTACTTGTTCTAAGTATACAACGAAAGGTTGGCGACCTAAATTACGCTTCCTCTAAGCGTAACGCTACGGCAGCCCTGCTGCAGATTGTCAATTTGATGTCCGCGTCGGCATACTACTTTGAAGAGGTAACCATAGGACGGCGCTATAGACCGACGCCGCTTTCGCGGAAGCTACCTTCAAACGGAGCGGCGACCCAAAGCGAATTAGAAACGACACTCATCGGCATTTTCGCCAGCTTCAAGTTTCTAACGTACGTCCTTCATTGTGTGCACCATTTTCCCCCGCCACTGCGGCTTCAAGTGCAGGCGGTAATCTTGAAAAGCGGCGATTTATGGGTCACGAAAGCGCTCGCTTAGCAACTTCCTGAAACTCGCTTTGCTTTTAATGCGAGCAGGACGCTCACACGCATAGAAGTGTTAGGGCTTCGCTCCAGCGCGGCGGGGGGTTAAAAGATTCCTCTTTTACTTATTTGATACCGTAAAATTTACGAAATTTACATTGCACTTTGAATATTTAGAAGGTATTCGTGAAATAGGTCCATGGTCAGAAACTTTATTGAGAGGACCCTGAATCAATCCTGCATACGACTATCATGCTCTCGCTAGGCTCATTGTAGCTTGAGACCACGTGAATAAGTATATTTTACTAACTATTCCGTCGTAAATTATAATCAATCACTAGTAGTTGAAGATTCAGGGTAAGGATGTTGTCTCCTTCCAATCGTCTCAAGTAGATGCGAAGCCACAACTCCCTGACTTGCTTTAGATCCGTGGTGAACCATAGCATTATCTGCTACATCGTCATGATTATCATATCGTCTTTTTGAGTGTTTGGGGTGTGCTACGGGCAATCGGTCGAAGTCCCCCAATGCGGCCGGGGCCCGTTCCGCATGAGTTTTATCACTTGTGTTACTGTTCGTAATAGACGAAGGATACGAAACCTGATGACGAGGCCGTAACCGAGTATTACCTGTGGATGTGGCATAACGTTTAAAGGTTGGACTTGATGCAATAGGCATAGGCGTATTCATTGTCCCCGAACTTCCAGACCCGTAATGCCGTGGTGACAATTTCTCTGCTACTATGGTTCCCTTGTTTCGAAGCGGATTGTTAAGAATTCGACCAGCGCGAACTCGTCCCCAAGTTGAAGCGAAATTTCCGCCTACACCCGTTACTGTCCCACCATTCAAAACAGGGGTTGTTGCTTCACCTAGTGTTGTACCTGTCGAATCCGTACGAGGATATCGCTGTGCTATTAATGGGAGCTTGTCTTCTTCATTAACCTTGGCTGTTACTATAGAAGGAGCAGCAGCTAATGTAATCGCAAATTTCTCGTCCTCAATCTTTTCGTCATCTAGAATATCATGCAACGTTGCGCTGGCAAAGGTAGTGACTAGACAGCTCGATGCACTACCTGTGCCACGCATCCACGGATGGCTAAAAATATCTGGAATAGTTGCTCGCTCGCTTGGATCAGGCTTGAGCATTCGTGTCACAAGATCAGAAAGTGTTGGACTTAGCTCTGTGTCTAATTTATATTGGCACCGCATGATACGATTTCGAATTACATTTTCACGCGGACGATTAGTTCCTTGAAGATCAGGTCCTTCAAAAGGCAATCGACCGCACACGATAGCAAATAGAATGACACCTAGACTCCATACATCAAGCGGTGGACCGGCATTAGATGTCCCACGAAAGACTTCTGGTGCCAAGTATGAAATAGATCCGCAACTTGTTTTCATCATCGCTCCGGGCTTGTAGAAATCGCTGAGTCCAAAATCTGCAATCTTGGCCGTCGAAATGTCATTTTTACTAAAGTACACGAAGAAACCGTCAATTGAGTACGGATGTATGTTTTCCAGCTTACTTTGCGAGCAAAATATTCTCCAACTTAAGATCGCGGTGGCAAATGTGTTGATTGTGGGCGTACCCAACACCACCAATAATTTGAGAAAAGATTCCAACGCTATCCTCTTCCGATAAACCGCCTGGAAACTGTTTGATGTAGTGAAATAGGTCACCACTACACGCACAACACAAATCATAACTTGCACACCAACTACATTATAATAGTTCACATACCCTTCTAACAGTTCAAAAACAAGCACAATATGATTCGGCTCGTTAATTACGCGCAATAACTTAATGATACTCGGGTGATTCAATGCCTTTTAATATAAACGAAATCAGTATCAAGCCATTAAATGTATAAAGTTGCATACCGTTAGGCACTGGATCTCCGTCGTCGTACGCTCGACGTCGCCTAACGATCCCATTTCACTTTTCTACACAGCAAAAACGCATATAAAGCTCTTGAATTTTTATGCGTAGTTTATGCAAAATGGTCCCGACCAGAATGAACTTAAGTGCCACTTTATCATTCGTAAGTTGATGCACTCCCAAACGCACTTCTCCAAAGCCTCCTCTGCCAAGCAAAATCGTCACCTTGTAACCTCCCACAATGTTTGCGACCTTGTCATCGCTACTACTTTTCGAATCATCTCCTCTAGAACTAGGTGTCTTAAAAGATCTCCCAGTTGAAAAAAAAAGCATGTCATTTTCTTCAATGCACATGATGTCATCAATTTCAGCGCCATCAGCATTAAACACTCGCGAAGCCATAGGAATCATCTCCAGACGCTGAGACGCTGCACACAAAAATTCATCCCAACTCCAATGCTGCTGCACAAACAGCACTACGTGAAAGAGTAAGATATATACGAATTTGACATTTCTGATTGAACAATTAGACCTTTTGGGGTATCAAAGTGGCCATTTCTAAAAGCTTTGATGGGTTTTCCTTGCACCGCATGGTCGCTAAAAGTGTCCATGTCATCAAAATCCGTCATGTTTACTCTGCACTACGCTACGCAGCATCCGTCGACTTGCGTTGCTCGCTCCTTGAGCTCGCAGCGGAGCCGTTTCCTTTCTGCCACCTTAACTTATATATAGAGATATCACATACTTCAGCTTGACCATCACTCTGCCACATCCCTTTACAATTAATAATACTAGTTCATTTAGAAAACAGCTCATTTTGCTCGGTAGATAACCTTTCCCCTCAAAAAGTATGGCAAGCACCCTTCCGCGCCGCATCGTAAAGGTAAAACAACAAGCATAGTCGTCGATTCCTCCCTTTATGGAAATGCCACTGCAAACGATTTGTTCTGATTTGAGTTTTTTTTTACTAACATCGTATTAAGGAAACCCAACGGTTGCTAGCAGAGCCTGGTTTGTTGTATCGTGATTATGTGGAGCAAAATTGATAAGAAGCTGACTACTGTGAGTCTTTCTTAGTGGCTGGAATTAGCGCTACTCCATACGAAGATAATTTACGCTATTTTCAAGTGGTAATCGCTGGTCCGCAGTCGTCACCATACGAGCGTACGTCCTTAATCGGCTATACAAACAGAAGGATGCACAATACTGATTTGGTTATCTATTGGCAGATGGAATTTTTAAGCTGGAATTGTTTCTGCCAGTGGACTATCCCATGGCTCCTCCTAAAGTGCGCTTTCTTACGCGTATCTATCATCCAAATATTGACAAGCTAGGCCGTATCTGTCTCGACATTCTCAAGGACAAGTGGTCCCCTGCTTTGCAAATCCGCACAGTGCTGCTGAGCATCCAAGCTCTTCTTTCTGCGCCAAATCCAGATGATCCATTGGCAAATGATGTTGCGGATCACTGGAAAACGGATGAGGCCGGAGCTGTGCACACGGGTTTGTGGAGTAATAATAGGAAACGGAACTTGTGAACTAATTGATTGTTGTACTTTATAGCCGCGGAGTGGACTCGTCGCTATGCTTAAGAATAAGGATATAAGGCTACCTGAGCATCGTTTTATCAAATGTTTACTTTTCAGCTTTGTTTTACATGTAGTGCTTGTAATGGTCTTTTATAAAATACTTGATTCTATGAAAGAGAAATTGTGACTATGTGCTAAATGGATACAACACTACGATGACGCAGGTGATGATTGTCCTGCTACTCAAAAAGCACAGTAAAATGATAAGTAATGGGTCCATCTACCACAATAAATATGATTTACCAGCTTCCTTTTCCGTTGTATTCTTGTTCTCAACGTCAACCATTTCTTCGTCTTCCTCTTGCATTTCCTCGTCCAGCACTGCATCTTCATTTAGTGTGGCCTTCAAATTTTGGATTGTGTTCATAAGTAGAGCAAATTGTTTAGTTCGAAGATCCAACCTGCCGTCCACCGCTTCAATAGCCATGGAGACATCACTTAGTATTTTCTTCTGCTTTTCAATTTCCGTCTCAATTTCTTTCCGGGATGGCAGCTTGTTAATCACTTTAGCAATAGACTCGTACTCCTCTTTATACGCCCGCACTGTCTTTTCAGCGCGAATTTTGACCTGCAAGTCCTCTATATCTTTCGCAGCCTTCGCAATGCTCGTGTCGATTTCTGAGTTAAGCGTTTCATACTCCTCTAGCTCGCGATCGCATGTAAAATTCCAAATTTCTGTCTTATTAGCCTCGAATTGAAGCTGTTCCAGTTCCCAGAAAAAAGTACTCATCTCCTGTTTGCATGTAGCGTCATCTACAGACTCGTCAGTCAGCAGATCTATGAGAGTGAGCATTACTTCGGCGCATTTCTTCAGCCCCGACTTTCCAACAGTACTTGTGCGCGTCAATAGACGTCGTCTGATCACTACATCTGTGTAACCATCACGAAATATGTGAGAGATGAAGGCGCTATCATAATAATTATATTACCATCGTCAGCCATAGCTGTATGGGAGGGTAAATTTGGAGTACCTCTGTGTGTACAATCGAGTCACAAGGGGATTGTGGAGCGTGCATAGTGTGCTCATTTAAGGATCCAAAAAAAAAATTAAGTACATTCTGTCATTTCAAAAGGCCTAAAAAAGACAAACAATTGGGAGATGTCAAGTTTTAGGACTAAATGGTAAACTCGCGTGGTCATTTGTCACCGCTTTTTGGACACAAAATATATAAGAATGAGTGTCCCACCACGTATAAAATGCTTTGTGAGTGTCCTCAATGGGGCTTCATCGGTCCGCGCTTTGGGCCTATCACACGATAGTGCTGACTCCGAAGTACCGTTACATCGTGACCAGGATAAATGATTTTTGTCTTTATGTTTAATCATTCTTCTTGCAACTTGCAGCCGTCCTTCATAAGAACCCGATCTGGACGAGAAACTGCGATACCCAGCAGGGTGCTGCATGGGTAGACCCAAACGAAATTCGCGTGGATTTTAGTAATTTGCCAATATCCATGCGACCCACTGCCCATGCAAGCTCGAAAGCTGGAACCCTTGTAGTAAAATTTGTCATGCCTCCACCAACGAGACCGCAAACAGCTCGGACAACGAGAACAGGAACGCCAACTGCTCGTCGCAAACGGCCCGCTCCTACGCTACGTCGACGCCAAGTTTCTCGTATCCAAACTGGCCAGGTCTATCGATTCACAGGACCTGGGGTCGCCACAGACAATGCTGATGAAAAGGACGACTTACCAGTGCTATCAGACCCAGCCCAGGATGAGAGCGATGGCGGTTCACAACCAGACGATATGGTTGGTGAGGAGGACGAGAACAGTGTTGCG